CTGGCATATAAGAGCCCTGAACTAATGGAGCACGGGATGAACTCTGAGCTGGAAGGGCACTAAGTGATGACTGGCCCTGATGAGAACTGTGAAAACCATGACCTGATGGCGCTCCACGATAACCTGGGCGAGCTGGCTGAGCAGGCCTAAATGGATAGCCTCTATCGTGCTGAAACTGACCTCTCGAAGGAGTACCACTGCAGCTACCTGAACATCAAGGCCTCTTGGACTCCCTCTCCTCTCCCTCCTAGCGATGAACAGACTCAATCTCACGGGCAATATCCACAATCTCCTCGTAAGTAGCACCAGACACTCTCTCCCTAATCATGAGAATACGAAGCTGATAAGTGAGGACATTAACAAACCTCTTAATCCTCTATCTGTTAGAACCAGCCAAATGGCATGACAAGCTAACTCAGAGAACCTCAACTCATACTGCGACATGGTCATATCTCCTTAACTCAACCACTAGAACTACCTCTGCGTAGCTCCTCTCTGCGATACTGCGGCACATACTTCTCCAAAAAGAGAGCGGAGAACTGCTGCCAAGTAAGGGGTGATGCACCAACAGGCCTATGCCTCGCAAAATCCTCCCACCAAGTGAAGGATACTCCAAAAAACTGATAAGTCGTGAAAGCGACCCCGTTGGTCTCCAAAATGCTCGTTGTATGAAGCATTCTCTAACACTTGTCTAAGAAACCCTGGGCATCCTCTCCCTTAGCACCACTGAAATTCGGCGGCTGAAGTCTACCAAATCTCTCCAACCTGCGCTGCTCATACTCTGGCATGACAAGAACTACATAGTTCTGAGCAGCTGCAACCGGCTAGGCTGGATGTGCCCCCAGCGTCTGAAGTCCCTGCACGACCTGCTCAGGTGTACGATCGGCGGGAGTCTAATTGCCTCCCCCGACCTGAGAAGTAGTTGCGGCTGTAGTGGCTGAAACCACCTGAGCTAGGCTAATGCAAACTAATAAGATCTGAGACAAGGCCTCCTGAAGACCCGAAATCACAATAGGCACAACTTGTGCCTGAGCTGGTGCTGCTGGAGCATCCAAAACCGGGACCTGATCCTAAATTGGGGCAACTGGTAGATCTGCAGGTACTGCCCTAGATGCTCTGCCCCTACCACGACCGCGTCCTCGGCCTCTAGTGGCCACAGCTGGTGGTACTGGTGGTCGTCCATCCGGACCGATAGTGCATGTCCTCACCATCTATGAGAGAATAGAATAAAAGAAGTTTAGTACTCGAATCAACAAATTTGCACGACAAGAATTTCAAGAAGATGAAGTTTTTTTCCTAAAGGTTCTGTAGCCACTCGAGGATAAATACAAACGTCTCTGTACCGATCTGCGATACTCTACTAAACCTGCTCATGACTTGTGAGAACTATGTAACCTAGGCTCTGATACCAACTTGTCACAAACCTAAACCTGGACCTGGTCGTGATGGTGCCTCTCGTGAAGACAAGGCTAGCCAACTATTCCCAATTCGATTTTAAACAGCTAAAGTACAAGAAAACAGTCTAAAACATGATTTAATAATACTAAGTAGCAGGTAATATCATAAGAATGCGGAAGTACAACCCCATGAAGAGAAGGTAAGCTAGTGAAGTATCAAATTGTTAATATGTTCAATAAATAGGATAATGATGAAATTTATTTTAACATCCAAAATTTGAATCTGGATTGAAGCATATTTTCTCTTGAATAAATTCATTAACTTTAATGTCATTCTTATTGAATCATGTTCTCAGAAGGCATTACGAGAATTATATTTGTATTTAATTTACTTCTGTCCCATATACACTTATTTTGCAAGGGAGCTTAATCTTCTTTGTTGATATCTCTTGTCTCCATGATATATGTGTAGATAGCTGTTGGTAATGTCATTTACATTGAATCAAACAGTGGAGCGGTTAAAAGAGTGGGTAGAAGTGATGCTTTTGCCACAGAATTTGATCTTGAGGCAGAGGAGTATGTTCCACTTCCTAAAGGAGAGGTTCACAAAAAGAAGTAGATAGTCCAGGTTTGTCTCATTTCCCATGAAGTCACATTTCTTATTTTGATATGGCGCAAATAGAAGATTACCCTGGCATTGTACGCATGTAGCTGATTTATATGCTTCTTTTCCACATGGTCAATATTTTCTATAGCTTAGCTATGGAATACCAAAGATCATAGTTTGTCTTAACAAACTTACTCGAACACTTGAAGGGTGTGTGAAATTCTGTATATCATTTGGAGAAGTGAGGAAACAGATCCCTTAGATAGATACTGGATTCCTAAGGCGCTTACGAAGGTGTTCTTTTTTGCATGGCTAGCAGCAAGGGGAGTGATTTTGACTGCTGAGAATCTGCGAATGAGGGGAATTATATTTGTTAGTTGGTGCTATATGTGTAAAAGCTCATGGGAAAAAGTTGATCATCTTTTGTTTCATTGCCCTATGTCCTCAGCTTTGTGGAGGGCGATCCTGAACCTTTTTGGTGTTCAATGGGTGATGCCAAGCACTGTAAAGGAAATGCTATATAGCTGGGCCGATTTTCGTAAAAGAAGAAAGCAAAAGGCGTGGAAGTTCGCCCTGTTAGCTCTCATGTGGATAGTTTGGGGGGAGAGAAACAGGAGATCTTTTGAGGGGATTGAGTCTTCTTTTTCACATCTTAAGAATAATCTTTTATCTTTGATCTCTTTTTGGTGCACTCATATAGCCCTCATTTGTATAGAAGATTGGGCGTATTTTGTAGAGAATCATGTTCTGATGTAAATTCTCTACTTTTTGGTATACTTCTTGTATACGGGAGTTCTCTCCCTTTTGATTAATACAATTTACCTTATCAAAAAACAGCCTCTCCACCCTAAGGTAGAGGTAAGGTCTACGTACACACTACCCTCCCCATCCCCTACTTATGGGATTATACTGGGTTGTTGTTGTCATTGTTGCAACAAATAGTAGATATGAACCCATAACTTTAAAAATATAATGAGTTCAATGCTAAATAACTTAGAGATTGAACCCATAAGTAATTGGTATCCTGTTGAATAGTCAAAGTGCGCCAAGCTGGGACACCTCCTGTTATCCCAAAAAAATGACATTGTCCTCCGATAGGGTGGTGATCTGAATATTGTCTTAGGTATTGAAGCTGTAATGGCTACTTTTATACCCATTCAGTTCTAAAATCTTCAACATCATTAATTTAGTTGTCATGTTTCAACTAGCTAGGAAATTTCTTGTTTCTGCTGTTATTATAGCATACTTTCTAAGCCAAACACTAAAATTGATAATATTTTGAGGGCCCCGCGAAAATTGTTGTTTCGATTGATGGCATGTCTATCGATAATAGAAATTTGGAGCTTAAGCCACAGGGAAGCACATAGTAACTATAGTAAAGGCTAATGGCTTAAAGAACCATGAAATGTTAGGAAAATCTGATCTATTTGTGATTGTATACATTCATCCACTTTTCAAGGTTAAGCAAAATCATTGAGAAGAACCTAAATTCCGTTTAGAATCAGAAGTTTGAGTTAATTGCAGAACACAAAGAGACCCAATCTCTCATCTTGGAGGTCTTCATAATGACATTGGTCAAGACCAACGAATGGCTGTCGCTAAGTTGCCTTTGAATGAGCTAGCAACAGAGCCTGGTACGGAAATTGAATGAAGATTACTGCCAAAACTTGATACGCTCAAAACTTGCAAGTGTTGATTAGTTCTGTGAAATAGAAATGAATCTTTTGAACCTAGGTTGTTAGAAAACAGAAGATAATATACTTCCCATTGAAAAATTTATTGGGACTCCAAATTGATTTAACTTTCAGAAAAAAGAAACATTCTTGTCGTTCACTGTTTATTCATTTGACCTAGCAATCAAGGAGACAATTTAATTTGTTGTTTATTTCTCTAAGTCATATTATGGGAAGTCTGGTTTTATTTTGTATGGTGCATTGATGTGGTTATGCTGAGGCAGTGAATCATATTTATGAGATCAAAGGACGTAAGCATACAAGTCCTTTGGCGATTTGTGTTGGCGATGTTCATGATATACAATGTTACGCTGTGACAGATCATCTGCCTCGTGGCTTGCTTGACTTCCTGCTTTTTCTTACAGAATTTAGTGTAATGGAGAGAGAGAATAAAAAGAAAGAAAAAGAGAAAGAAAAGATAGACACAAATTAGAAAAAATTATGGAACCACCAAAGGATGTGGTACAGTGGACGGGACTTCTCTTCCTTTAACCAGAGGTCACGGGTTCGAGCTCTGGGTATGGAAAATACTTGGTAGGGAACGCTTCCCCCGAATGGGACCCTACACGGCGCGAATCCGAATATAGTCGGGCTCCAGTGCGGGTACCGAATACCGGGTGGGAAACAAAAAAAAAAGAAGAAAAAATGGTGTCAAACTGTGTACGACTTTGTCAATTGAAGAAGGGCATATTAGACAAAATACTACGTAGTTTTTTCATCTCATTTTATGTATTATCATTATCATTTGAGAAGTCAAATGCTTTCTCTAGCTAGGACTTTTTCAAACATTTTCCATAGCTTTAATTATAAAAAAAATATGTCACTAACTCTTCTTGTGTTTTTCTTGTAGTTCTTGAATAGGTAAATTTTAATCCAAAGAAAAGGCTAGACATCCAATTTCACAATGTAAATTAGATGTTTTGATCCTCATACTTAAAAGTTGAAATGCTTTATATTATTTAGAGAGTGAAAATGAGAATTCTCGTTTGTCTTAACAAGAAAGTACAATTGGCCTTAAGGTAAAAAAGGAAAAAAATAAGTAAGAAAGAAAAACAATAATGAAGGAGCCAAAAAGGACTTAAGTGACACTTTTTAAAAATTTCGAGGGTTTATTTCAAATAATATGAACATGCTGGGGTTTATGGCGCATTAAAAATTCTACCCCTTCAAAAACCCCTCCGCCTCCATTAGAGAAGCTACTCTTAAACACCAAACAAAGAAGAAGAAAAAGAAGGCTAAAGAGATATATTAAAGAAGAAAAATATGAAGATAGAAGAGGTTCAATCGACCACTAAGAAGCAGAGAATCACCACTCATACTCATAATAAATGCCTTGGCCTTGAGGTAACTTCGTCTTTTTACACCAACCTCCTCTCGTATTTGTACACTATTTATACGCTTTTTTACCATTTAACCAATTTTTTTTTTGAGTTAATTATTTTTCTGTGTTTTTTTGGATTTTAACTTTTGGTGTTTAATTTGTGTAAAGCTTCAAACTTGTGCTGGCTCTAACCGCCCCCTATTTGTTTTACTGTTTAAGCAAACTTTTGTGTTAATGTATTTTTTGGGGTTTTGGGTTTTAGACCTTTGGTATTAAGTTTGTGTAAAGATTCAATCTTTTGTTGGGTCTAACCAACCCCCTGTTTGTCTCAGTCTACTCTTTGTACCCTTTTTATCTTTTAGACAAATTTTTGGGTTAATGTTTTTTAGGTTTTAGGGTTTTTGGCCTTTGGTAATACTTTTTTGTAGAGCTGGTATGTTATTGCTGGTTCTTTAGTTACCAAGAGGTTTCTTGCATTTGATGTTTAATTCTTATGTATGTTTATACTGAAATTGCCAACATATAGTTGCTTGAATGTGACTACATTGTATTATATTGTAGCCCAATGGGATGCCAATACCACTGGCAGCTGGATTTGTGGTTCAGACAGTAGCTAGAGAAGCTGCAAGGCTTGTGGTTGATATGATATGCCAAAATAAGATGGCGGGTCAGGCTTTACTACTTGCTGGTCCGCCTGGTACGTGGAAGACAACTCTTGCTCTTGGTACATCACAAGAACTTGGAAGCAAGGTGCATTCTTTTTACTCTTTTTGATTATGGATTTAATGCTTCTCTTTTATCATATTTATAATGTTTTGAGCTTTATTTACCAGTATTGGAATGAAATGGGATCAAGCAGAGTAGAATTCATATAAAGGATTCAATGATTCAAAATAGCCGAGCCCAAATGATTAAGGGTTGAGGGTAATTGATTGATTGAATATTGATAATGTTTGAATTGAATGGGCATTGTAAATCTTCTTCGTTTGTTATGAAAATTTACTTTATTAGGATTGGCAATCCAAAATATAGCTTGTATGTGATCGGTAGCATTGACTTCGATGTTGCAGGTTCCATTTTGCCCGATGGTTGGATCTGAAGTGTATTCATCAGAAGTGAAGAAAACTTAGGTTTTAATGGAAAATTTGCATTGAGCTATTGGTCTTCGTATCAAGGAAAATAAGGAAGTTTATGAAGGAGAGGCAAGTCGATACTCCATCCCATTTCTCGTTTCATTTGTGTCTGGTCCTTGGCACAGTAATTCTGCGATGTTGATGCGTTGTGAAGTTGATCTCATTTTTAAACAATTCTTAATGTAGGTGACTGGACTATCTTCAGAAGAGAGTGAGTGTCACGACCTAATTCTCAAACCCGGTCATGATGGTGCCTCTCACGAAAACAAGGCTAGCCAGACGAAATAGAACACCTCTTTTAAACAGTTAAATATCATAGATAGTTCTAAAGCATGATATAATATCCATAAATTGCAGAATTAATGATAACAACAGTGAAAACCATCCCGACACAGCCCAAACCGGGGTATCACAAGTCATGAGAAACTATGAAGTCCGGATACAAGTCTATTGAACACTAAATCCAATACAATAGTTCCACAAACATGAAGATGACAAGATAAGGGAGGCACGGTGCTGCGAACGCCAACAACTACCTCGTAGTCTCCGAATCACTACCTGAACTAGGAGAATCAACACTCAGGAGCGGACTCTGCGATGCCTGAATCTGCACACATGGTGCATGGAATAATGTGAGTACTCTAACTCAGTGAGTAATAATTATAAATAATGGCTGAAAGTATGAAAACACGTAAAGGCACAAAGCAATTCTATATCAAGCAGTAAAATCACTTAAAGTAGTAAATCAGTGAAGAAATCAAATGATATTCCTTTTTTAAAAACAAGTAAAACAGGTAATTTAACAGGTAAATAACAAGTAGAAATCCGCCCTTCGGGCATAGTATCAATCACTCAGAATAGTATCAGCCCCTCGGGCTCACTCTCAGATCATAATGTATACCCGCGCTCACTATGGGTGTGCAGACTCTGGAGGGGCCCCTTAGGGCCCAAGCGCTATATCAAGCCACCTCGTGGCATCATCACTCAGCACTCGACCTCACATCACTTGGCACTCGGTCTCACATCACCCGGCCTCACATCACTCAATCCACCTCGTGGCATATAAAGTATCTCAGGCCCTCGACCTCATATCACTCAGCATATCCTCACATATGGCCCTCGACCTCACTCAGTCCGAAAATCATCACAAGCCCCTCGGGCATTAGTAAAATAGTAGTTCTTAACCCAAAACATGTTTTAGAAATATCATTTAAGTTTAGAATACGAGTAAAAGTGGTTGAGTGTGTAAAATAGTAGATATCAACAGGAGTGAGTTCAAATACTAATTCAAACAGTGAAGAGACAGTGATAAAAATCCCCGAAGGGCCCAAATATTTGGCACAAAGCCCAAATATGGCAATCAGCCTAAATCATGATGATAACAAATAAGTTTCAGTCAAATACGTGGTAAAATCGTCAATCGGGACGGACCAGGTCACAATCCCCAGTAGTAAAAGATCCCACACTCATCATCCAGCGTGTGTCTTACCTCAATATAGCACAACGATGTGCAATCCGGGGCTTCAAACCCTCATGACATCATTTACGATCATTACTCACCTCAAACCGGCCAAAACTCTAGCTCGCTATGCCCTTGCTTCTCAAATCGGCCTCCTCGTGCATCGAATCTGACCAAAACCACAACGAATACGTCACAATAGGCTAAGGGAACAATACCCAATCGAAAACAATCGAAAAAAATCAAAAATCCCGAAATTGGCAAAACCCGAGGCCCGGGCCCACTTCTCGAAACTCAAAAATTTTAACATCATTAGATTCCTTATCACCCCACGAGTTCATACATATCAAAAGTCCTCCAATCCGACCTCAAATGGTCCTTCAAATCCCAATTTCAAAAGTTCAAAATCCCAAGCCCTAGTTCTTCCATTTTTAGCTTAAATTCCATGAATTTCTAGGTTAATTTCACAATAGAATCACGTTTTTGGTTCATAAAACTTATCTCCAATCAATTCTCCTTGAATCCCTCTTCAATCTCCCTCAAATAGCTCTCAAAATGATCAACTATGGTGGAAAAATGGCTCAAAATTGCGGAGGAAATGTTTTATAAACTTTCTGCCCAGTTCTGATATTCCTTCTTCGTGAACGCGGTCAACGTCTCGCGTTCGCGAAGCACAAACTTACGTTGACCAATTTTTGCCCTACGTGAACGCGTCACATCAATCGCGAACGCGATGCTTATGCCTCCTACACCTTCGCGAACGCGACAACCTTACGCGAACACGATGAACAAAATGCCTTGGACCCCAATTTGCTCTACGCGATCGCGAGTGCCTTCTCGCGAACGCGATGCACTGCTTCCGATCCTTTCGCGAACGCGAAGGCTTAATTCTGGTCTTCCTCAAATCTTTCTATGCGAACGCGAAATACCCCTCGCGAACGCGAAGGGTTATTTTCTGCAACACCTGAACTCCCAAAATCTGCAACTTTTCAACTTAGAAAATGGTCCGATTGACCACCCGAAAGTCATCCGAGGCCCCCAGGAACTCAACCAAGAGCACCAACACATCCTAAAACCTCATTCAAACTTGTTCCATTCATCAAAACACCTCAAACAACAACAAACCATCAATTCTCATCGAATTCAAGCCTAAGTTTTCTAAAAAACTTCCGCAATATGCTTTCGATCAAAAACCCAATCAAACCACGTCCGAATGACCTGAAATTTAGCACACACATCATAAATGACATAACGAAGCTACAAAAACTCTCAGAATTCCATTCTGACGCTCAGATCCAAATATCGCCTTTCAACCAGAAATCGCCAAAATACTAACTTCGTCAATTCAAGCCTAATTCTACACCGGACCTCCAAAACCAATTCCGATCACACTCCTAAGTCATAATTCACCTCCCGAAGCTAACCGAACCATCAGAATCCACATCCGAGCCCTCTAACATATAAGTCAATATCCGGTTGACTTTTTCCAACTTAAACCTTCTTAAAAGAGACTAAGTGTCTCATTTCTTACCAAATTCACCCTGAACGCAAACTAATCAACTCGATCACATAAAACATGGATAATGAGGCATAAAGAAGCAGAAATGGGGAAAATAGAGCGGTAACTCATGAGATGTTGGGTCGGGTCGTCACATCCTCTCCAACTTAAACAAACGCTCGTCCTTGAGCGAGTCAAGAAACATACCTGAAGCCTCAAACAGGTGAGGATATCTGCTCTGCATCTCCTGCTCGGTCTCCCAGGTAGCCTCCTCCATGGGCCGACCTCTCCATTGCACTTTCACCGATGCTATATCCTTTGATCTCAATTTCCGAACCTGACGACCCAAAATAGCCATTGGCTCCACATCATAGGTCAAATCATCATCCAACTGAACTGTGGTGAAATCCAAAACATGAGACGGGTCCCCAACATATTTCCGGATCATAGAAACATGGAATACCGGATGCACACTCGACAAGCTGGGTGGCAAAGCAAGCATATAAGCCACCCCCTCAGTCCTCCTAAGTACCTCGAAAGGCCTAATGAACTGCAGACTCAACTTCCCTTTCTTTCCAAATCTCATAACACCCTTCATGGGCGAAACCTTCAGCAAGACCTTCTCACCAACCATGTAGGATACATCTCGAACTTTCCGGTCTACATAACTCTTCTAACGCGACTGCGCTGTACGAAGCCTCTCTTGAAGCCATCTGAATACTCGACTGGTAGCTATTGTTGTAGGCAAACTCTGAAAGCGGCAAAAACTCATCCCATGAACCTCCAAAATTAGTGACACAAGCAAGAAACATGTCCTCCAATATCTGAATAGAACGCTCGGATTGTCCGTCCGCCTGAGCATGAAACGCTGCGCTCAACTCTACCTGAGTACCCAACTCCCTCTGTACGGCTCTCCAAAACTACGAAGTAAACTGAGTACCTCTATCTGAGATGATGGAAACTGGAATACCATCCAGCCGAACAATCTACCGGATATAAATCTCTGCCAACTGCTCTAAAGAATAGGTAGTACTCACAGGAATGAAGTGTGCGGACTTGGTCAGCCGATCCACAATCACCCAAATAGCATCAAACTTCTTCAAAGTCCGTGGAATTCCAACAACAAAGTCCATAGTGACCCTCTCCCACTTCCACTCGGGAATAACCATCTGCTGAAGCAAGCCACCCGGTCTCTGATGCTCATATTTTACCTGCTGACAAATGAGACACCGAGCTACAAATCCCACAATATCTTTCTTCATTCTTCTCCACCAATAGTGCTGCCTCAAATCCTGATACATCTTCGTGGCACCCAGATGAATAGAATACTGCGAGCTATGGTCCTCCTCTAGAATCAACTCCCGAAGCCCATCCCCATTCGGCACACAGATCCGGCCCTGCATCCTCAACACACCATCATCACAGATGGTCACATCTCTGGCATCATCATGCTGAACTCTGTCCTTAAGGACAAGCAAATGCGGATCATCATACTCGCGCTCTCTGATGCGATCATACAAGGAAGATTGAGAAACCACACAAGCCAACACTCGGCTAGGCTCCGAAATATCTAATCTCACAAACCGATTGGCCAAAGCTTGAACATCAACTGCAAGGGGTCTCTCCCCAACTGGAATATATGCCAAACTCCGCATGCTCAATGCCTTTCGGCTCAACGCATCGGCCACTACATTGGCCTTATCCGGATGATACAATGTGGTGATATCATAATCCTTAAGCAACTCTAACCACCTTCGCTTCCCCAAATTAAGATCTTTTTGCTTGAATAAATGCTGAAGACTGCGATGATCAGTGAATACCTCACAATATACGCCATACAAATAATGCCTCCAAATCTTCAATGCATGAACTATGGCAGCCAACTCCAAATCATGAACAGGGTAATTCTTCTCATGGGGCTTCAACTGACGAGAAGCATAAGCAATAACTCTACCCTCCTGCATCAATACACAACCAATCCCAACTCTCGAGGCATCACAATATTCGGTATACGAACCAGAAACTGATGGCAAAACCAATATTGAAGCTGTGGTCAAAGATGTCTTGAGCTTTTGAAAGCTCTCTTCACGCTCATCCGACCATACAAATGAAATAC